GACTTTCACTTTGACTGGAGCTCACATCACGCGTGGGACCACGATTCTCAGACCTGAGTTTCATTTAGCGTCTCATTTCACTGTCTGAGTTGGTAGCTGGTTAGGTTTAGAAAACAAACGGATTAAAAATAGAGGCTTCGAATAAAGATGCACGAAGCAGCGATGTCATTAGTGATGCAGAACTTTAAGCCTTAATAGAATGTAGACGTGTTGGAGTTCAGTAATGAACCTCCCATACAGTCCTAATGAATGTGGAAATCGGACACCAGAACCGTTGCTTTCGGGACTTTCAAACTGCCTCCAATATTCAGATCAGGTGGCTGCTGTGGTTAGAATTTGCCTTTTCACAACGTTAACCAGATGTGAGAAGTCTGGTCACCTTTAAAAAAAAACAACAACTCCTGTTTCGTTTCGGAAAATATACCGCTTTGGTTTCGGAAAATGTTTTGGTTTGAGTTAAAATACAAACTTTGCACATTATGTTCAGAGATTCTGGATTCTGGGTGATAGAGCCACGACATGAAACTCACACCAAGGCTAGCCTCTGTTTCACTAACTTCTCTTATTCAGATTCTCTTTCTGTGGTCTCTCTGAGAAATAAACCGTATTCTCTGTATTTATTTATCATATTCCAGCACTTTGAAGCCATGATGCATTCGAGAAAGTTAAACAATAATTCATTTGTGAGCTCCAAAGAGAAAAAAGACGACATGCTTCCTGAAGTTAGTGTTCAGCTTTCTAGTTGTAATTGCTGCTGTTTGAAAAACTTTAAAGCCTTGTTACAGACATATCTGAGCTAAATTAAACCCCTCGACACAACTCTATGAAGAGCCAGACAGTCCGTGTTGCTCCAGCCAACAGGAACTGGTTGACGGCGCGAACGCTGTCTCTTCCCCTCGACTAAGTCATGATCCACAGGAAGAAAAGAAAACAAGAAAAAAAAAAAGAGGTTGAGTTTTGGGGGTTTTCTGATCCAACTATACATTTTCTAACTGATCCAAATCATCATAAACTGCATGTGATCATGTTGTTTTTCCATATTTTTATTTTTATTGTTTGTTTAACTGATTAAATAAATGTGGTTTCCATGTTGTTAGACGATTACATACATGCTGATGTGCAGCAGCGTGAACGCACTGAGGCCACATTTGAATACTTTACTCGCTCATACATGCACATACGTCGTCCCAGTGCACGTGTACATGGATGTACATGTCAGCGTGCATGTACGTGCAAGAGAACTGGTCTAAGTGGCTTCTTATATGGAGCTGCTTTCCCAAGATGACTGTAAAACACATCAAAATTCATTCTTTTATTGATTTTACGTCCCCATCAGCTGCCTTTAAATCTCAACATAAACAACATGTTTATTTTGGTCATGCGTTCTCATTTACCTTTATTCAAATGGAACTGCGTAGAGTGTGCAAATGTTTGTGCAGAAAGAAAATCTTTGTATTTGCATAAGACTTTTCTTTAAGTGCCTTTGAAGCCCGTCAGTCTGGTAAAATGGACACTGAAGTCTTTGTCATGGTAAAAAAAAAAAAAAAAAAAGCATTCGACTTTTGTACAAACTGGTGTCAGATTGCACGCGAGCATATAGGAACTTACACTTTCCTCCACGTTCTGCAGAGCGCTAACAAGTTCATATGCACCAGGTGTGTTTTTCCAGCCTGTCGTCCAACCCCTGCTGTGAATTCATGCTCACCGATGATGTGCCTCTGAGGGATACACAAACGAGAAAACCCGGTCACGCTGCACATAAAGAAAAAAAAAAAAACCCTCGATCCCCTGTGTGGCTTTATGGGTCAAGCTCATTAAAGACACATTCATCTATAAACGCAGCGAAAATGAGTTTATTCCGGAAAATCCAGTTAATTTGGCACCGTTTAGATTCACCTAACGAAGAAGGATAATGAAATCTTCAGCTTACCTTCGGCTTCCTCTTCATCACGGTTAATATCCTCTGTGACCTATTCGACGAACGGGGCAAAGAAAAAAATGGGGCAGTTACCAAGGAGAGAAACCAATCGTTCATTCTAAAAATATAATCTCAGACCCCTGCTAGTGAGAGCTTGTGGTGCACAGTGCTTTTCTTTTTTTCTTTCTCTCTGTTGTGGCTCAGAAGGAGCTGCTCTGTCACATAATAAACAAGTCCTGTGTGATCATTATCCAAGCGATGAGCGGCCATTCATGCCCGGCCTCTCCGCAGCCTCGTACTGTTTAGCCACAGCTTGTCGAGCATCTGGAGATTTGTTGCTAGTTGGTTTGTTTTACCCAGGGAGGAACTTGAAAGGGGAAAAGGATGACTGGTGAAAGCGAGAAAACTCAGGGACAACAGGTGAAGCAGAGAAAAAAGCATCACTTTGCAGCTCAGACATCAAATTGGGGTTAAAGTTTCCTCAGTCGGAAGTTGACAGCCCTTTTCCACACAACCGCCCAATGAAATTAGATCAAAGCAATAATTTTTAGAACAACCATGTGATGTGGGCCACAGGTCCCAAGATAGGGAGGAGGCCTAGAAACGCTACGCATGGAGTTTCTGTGAAAGAATGACCCTCCTGAAAAACACCAGTTTGAGGCAAAAACGCTGCTCTCAGAGCCGATCTCGCCCAACGAGGACATTTCAATAAGTGCTTATTTATGTCACGATGCTGCCTGGAAGGATGACGCCCCTCCACTTTCAGCAACATGGAATTGAAGTATTTTTGAGCAGCAGCCAGGAGTATAATTCATTAGACAGAGCGGCTATAATGAGCCAGCATAGACAAAGCGCCCAATTTCCACTGTGTCCTCTTTCCCCTGGGAGCTGTGGTCATAATGACAGTGCTGTTTGTTGCCTGGTTTCATGCTGAATCATGATGGAGCAGCCGCAGGACCTCGATTTTTTTCTTCTTTTTTTTCTTTTCTCACCTCTCTCCCTTCAGATTCTGGAAAAAGCGAGCATCGGTTCCTCTTGCTTATGTCACTGGTGCAATTATGTTATGTGTTCCACCGGTCCGTAATAAGGGCAGTGTGAGGTGACGAAGACGTTTCACGCCTCACGAGGTCTCCTGATGAGAGGCCGAGCAGCTCCTGCAAGCAGAGACAGTGATGCGTAATGGTAAACAGCCAGACAGCTGGTTTGTTTCGGGCCAACTCGCCATCCATATGATAACAAGGTTAAAGAGGAGCAACTGCTCTTTAGGAATTAAAAGGCCGACGCTGTGGTTCACGCATCGAGAGAGCTTCTTGTTTGTGACCACATTCCTCAAATGAATATTCATCAAGACATCCGGCGAGAAGCTAATGCCATGTTATAACTACACAGCGTCATGTAAACATTAAAACAAACCAGCTCGTAGCCCCACGTGTATTGCTATAAACAGATAATGTCTTGTGCGCATTTGCTATCTTCAGTGATACGTGCTCCGTCCATTAGCCGCTGCTACACTGGCTGTATTCCACTCATTTGTCTCCAGCTGATGGAGCACTCAGCAGTCATTTCGGTGTTGAGTGGGCCTCTCAAGCATATTGGGTTATAATTTTTTCATGTACACTTGCATTTTTATGATAATAGACTATTATTGCTAGATGATGGGTTTTTGTGTCGGAGCCTCCGTGGAGCCGCTGCAATTCAGTTGTTTCTGCTCTATTAGGGTTTATGTTTGTTGATGTGTTTTGGTTCGTTACTGTGCAGCAGCAGCAATTCACTGAAAAACAAAAACAGAAAGAAAACATTTGCTGAGTTTAATTCCACACAATATTCCTGTTTCTTCACATTTAAACTTGTTGATAAATTTGCATAATAAATAGCATGGAACCATGTTACTATAATAATTTATTTAGTTAGATAAGTTTGCATATTATTTAACTTTGTCGGGTCTTAACCTTAATATTTAAACTTGTTAGGTAAATTGACTGTGATTCCAGTTTTATTGTTCTGCTGGAAAGCACTTTGGCACAAAATTGTTTCAGATTTGATTTGCATTTAGGAATTTGCTTTCATTATATTACTCGTCTTCATTGTTTCTAACATACTGCATTTTGCATTTTTGCTTCTGTTGTCTCTTATTTTTAACCCAACTTATCAATTTTTAACTCATGGGTATCCTACATTTGTTTTCTCAAAGCACTTTGTAAACCCTTGTTTAGTGTAAAGCGACTATTATTATTAATAATAATAATAGCTAGTTTCTTCTGAGTCTCCATGTTCTCCCCGTGCAGCGTGGGTTCTCTCCGGGTTCTCCGTCTTCCTCCCACAGTCCAGAAACATGCTGAGGTTAATTGGTGATTGTAAATTGTCCGTAGGTGTGAATGTGAGTGTGCTTGGTTGTCTGTCTCTAAGTGTAGCCCTGTGATAGACTGGTTACCTGTCCAGGTGAACCTGCCTTCACCCTGAGTCAGCTGGGATAGACTCCAGCCCCCCACGACCCTAGTGAGGGTTAAGCAGTATATAGATGATGGATAGATTAACTAGCACTAAACAATACTCTTTATTCCAACAATAACAAAATGAAATAAATACAATGAAACTGTCTACACTATTTAGGATGCGCAAACAGATTGTATAAAGTTTAACTATAAGAAAGACTTATATTTTTTTTAAAATATATTATTCTAGATTGTGATTGAGTTGAGAGGTTTGATTAAAATTTGTTTATTTTTAAATAAGGCCGCTTTAAGACTTTTAAGAGTTTTTTTTTTATTTTTTTTTTAAGGATTTTTAAAATTAATGTTATTATCAGTAATTATTTCAAACTGTATTGGAAGCAATACATATTAATAATAATACTAATAATAACAAAAATAAAATAATCTCACTTGTAAATTGCACACAAGAGAATGAAAGATAATAACAGATTAACAAGAAAAAAGATTTAATAAACACGAGCGTTTCCTGGTTATTCACATACGTCACCGTAAATTCTCGTCTACTATTGGTCAGAATATTTGAGTACTGAATTCTGATTGGCTGCTGCTGTGAGTTCAGAGGTTAGCTTGTTTGGTAACATGCATGTTGTTGTGTAGCTAGCAGGAGAGGGGTGTGTTGTCTGTTGATTTTTTAAACAGTGGCTCGTTATTCATCTAAATACAACACAATAATAGTGCACGTATGCGTCGTCGCTTATTTATTTAACCTGTTATGTGTGTTGCGCGCCGACAACCCGGACATGCTAACGTTAGCTGTGTAGCTACCTAGCTTGGCAGCTAGCTAGCTTGGTGACAAGCGTCCTAAATGTCAGATTGTATGGAAAGCTGACCTTGTAGGCACAGCAAACGGGAAGAACGGTTCGTAGGGCTTCTGTCAGAGCTATGGCTTCAACCGGTCTCTTGTGTTTGTTCAACGCGAAGGCAGCAGGCTCGGTGAAAGCATTAGCCAGGGCAGGATGCAGTGTGTGCTTCAGGAGGAACTTCTCCAGTTCACCTTCAAGACTGCAGAGCTGCATGTCAGCCTGGGTCATTGATCAGTATGGCACCAATGGGGCTCTGAGGTACACAGAGGAAGCCACCATGCCCAGCATTAGTTCTCCCACTGAGGTGATGATTAAAGTCTATGCAGCCAGTCTGAACCCTCTTGATGCATCTATGAGGGGTGAGTGTCAACTAATACCAACTGATTACCTGAACTTAATATTCTCCATAAGTGAAGTGATCTAATTAAACCAGTAGTATGTGATGTGTGGTTGACTTTTTAAACAAACCTGCTGGCTTTCTGTTCCAGGTGGCTATGGAGCTAAACTGATGAGGTTAAGAAGGGATCCGTTATCCGTGATGAGCGACGACAGCGAGTTTCCCCTCATTCTTGGTCGTGATGTGTCCGGCGTAGTGTTGGACTGTGGGTCCGAGGTTACCCACTTCACCCCAGGAGACGAGGTAGGTGCTGCACACCTGTCTTTTAGAAAAGCTACAGGATGCTGGGAGTTGGCAGTGAGAAGGGAAACAGGAGTAGGAGCTGGATGTAAAGTCACAGTGACGACTTGGTTAGCTACGCCTGAAAAATGGAGCACAGATTAAAGTCCATCCATCCTCAATACACAGCTTCCTGCAATCCTGCATGTTTTAGATGTTTCCCTCTTCCAACACACCTGATTCAAATGATCAGCTCATCATCAAGCTCAGCAGAAGTCTGATAATGATCCTGATCATTTGAATCAGGTGTGTTGTAAGAAGGAAACATCTAAAACATGCAGGATTGCGGCCCTCGAGGACTGGATGTCGACACCCCTGCTCTACGCAGAAAGATCCCGGGTGTCCTCACCGGGACGCGAACCAGCGACCTTCAAGCTGCGAGGCTACCCATTTACAAACATGAGGGGAAAATATTATAAACACATCTTAGTATAGCTCAGTCCAGTACAACACCACCAGAACCTGTGACCTCAGCAAGACACATCATCAGACACACGATATCCACATGGTGTTTTTTTTTTATTTTTTTATATGCCTTAAGACAGGGGTGTCCAATCCTGGTCCTCAAGGGCCACAGTCTTGCATGTTTCAGATGTTTCCCTCTTCCAACACACCTGATTCAAATGATCACAATCGTTATCAGGCTTCTGCAGAGCTTGATGATGAGCTGATCATTTGAATCAGGTGTGTTGGAAGAGGGAAACATCTGAAACATGCAGGACTGTGGCCCTCGAGGACCAGGATTAGACACCCCTGCTTAATACGAGCGCAGGAATCGGTGGACACCACGGCTGAGCATTCCCACCTTAAAACTCCAGTAATAGCATCACAAACACAGATTTCCAGGGTTGCATGTGTCACAAACCTGAGGAACCATTCTTCAACCTTTCTATATCGTTACTCCTCTTCGGTGCAAGTTTCTGAGTTTAACACATTTAGTTGATTACTCATTTCACAGTAGAGTAGTTATACAGTGTTTGAGCACAGTTGTGGGTGAGCTGGTGTGCTCGAGCAGCCGTGAGTGGGAAGGAGTAAATACAGAAAGATGCAGGAATGACATAGATCTGCGTATTATAGAGGAAGCAAAGATGTAGAGTTACATCTGAGTGTTTTTAAGGAGAAAACCAAACATCATAATCCGCCTAAATGTAGAATTCATGGCATGTCTGTTGCACTGGTTTGCATTAACTTGTGTAGGAATAAAGAAAACCATTTGTGCCTGTATTGTTTCCCTTGTCAATGACTGTATAGCTGCAAAAACAATATTTGCATGAAACAGGGGATAAAGCACTCATTGGTTGACCTGGTAATAAACCACAGACACATGGAGCCTGTAATGAGAGGCTATAAGTAAACATGGCTCCGTTTTAAAGGGTCACAGGTTGAAAGGTTTGAAAGCACTCAAAAACTGCTGAGGATGTACCAACGGCGTGATAAACACTCAGAGAAAACAAATGTAAAGGTATTTATTGTGATATCTCTCTCACACACACACACACACCTCCATGGCTGAGTCACTCACTTACATCTTCTTGGAAGAAAGATCAAGTTCTTTCTGCTCGGTCATCACTTGAGTGTGACTCACAATAATTTGAGACTTGTGCTCCCACGTATCCACATTACAGGCTTCCGGCAGACAGAAAGGTAATTATGCAAATTCAGCTTAAAGTGAATGTGATTAAATAATGGAACAATAGAGCTGTACAAATTTCCACATGCACTCTTCTTGTAATTGTGTTCCACGAGTTTAAAAATATCTTGTAGAAAAGACTAATTATAAGAAACGACCGGAACAGTCGTCAAAGAGCTTAATAGGCGATTAACCAAAATCCAGAGGCTATGAGTAGGTGGTTAATTTGAGTTGTGTTAAATGTCATTTGTCTTCCAGGTGTGGGCTGCTGTTCCCCCATGGAAACAAGGCAGCCTGGCTGAGTTTGTGACTCTGACGGAGTACGAGGTGAGCTACAGCCTGCAGAGGAGAGCTGCTGGAATAAATTAAGCTGCTGCCTGTACTGACACTGACTTTACTGTCGGGATGGTTTCAAACTGATGGAGAAGTCTTATTTGAACTGGGGAGGGGGGAAAAAAACCCAACATATTGAATAAAAGTTTGGACGACGTGCGGCCTGTTATGTAACGGCGCTGTGTAAGAAGTAATTAGGATTAAGTTTGTTTGGTTGCAGTCGCCACTGTGGCAGCAATTACAGGGACGTACAAATTGCTCTTCGCTTTCTTGCTGCATTGTGCTTCATTTGTTCAGCAGCTCTTGCTAGCTGCAGCTCTGGTGATTAAACTGAGCTGCTAAATTGTTGATTTAAAAGATGCAGCTCTAACTGTCTGCCTGTCTTTGCAGGTTTCTCACAAGCCAAAATCGTTGAGTCACATCGAGGCAGCGTCCATCCCCTACGTCGCCAGCACGGCTCTGTCTGCACTCGTAAACGCAGGTGGTCTTTGCAGAGACAGCGCTGCAAATAAAAGGCAAGCCTGAAACCTTGTGCTGAAGCCCTCGTCAATTTACAGAGAACAGGAGAGGTGTGAATGAGGGAGAAGCGCAGGTCCCTGAGTGCCATTACCAACTGTAATCCTTGAATTAATTTGTTAGGGCTTTTGAATTTCGATGTGCTCTTTTCCTGTTGCCGAGTCAGTTCAGCCATGCAGGCCTTGACTTTAATGAGACGTTTTTCCAACACTTTTATTTTAGCAGTTCAACTGGTCTCATGCTTCCTTCTAATTGGCATCAAAAGGCTTTTTTAAAAATCCAGCTTTTAACCGACAGACTGTAAGAAAAACTTAACCTGATGAGTAACCTAATGGAACCTCCACTCCTCCTCTAATGTAATAGCTTCCAATCCTGCAAATCCCTTTTTACCCCCCGAGGCTCCCACTTCTTTTTGTAGCATCGTCTAAATGAGTCACTCGGTAATTGAATGACCCTCTGGTTGCTGGGGTTTCTCCTTCCAGAGTTTTGATCACTGGAGGATCAGGAGGTGTCGGAACATTCTCCATTCAGGTGAGTTTATTCCTGTAGCCGTGCCCGCGTACGTCTTTGACTCTATTAAACCCTGCAAGAATGTAAGGCCTCCTGCCGTGCGCTTATGTCTGTTTTCTTCCTTGACTTGCCGCCAGCTGCTGAAGGCTTGGGGAGCCCACGTAACCGTTACCTGCTCCCAGAATGCTGAAGGCCTCGTTAGGGGGCTCGGGGCCGACGAGGTGGTGGACTACACAGCGGGGGATGTCGCCGAAAAGCTCGAGACGATGGACAAGTAAGATATGGTGTTGTTGTTGTTGTGTTTTATAAAACTGAGCCTTAAAGCGGTTACAGTGGGTTTTTTTTCTTCTTAAGAAGCGGAGCAGAATGTTCTTTGATGAAGTATCATTAGAGCCGGTGCCAGTCCAATAAAGGTGCTAATGAAAAGCGATCATCTAGGACTGCTAAAATTCTCGGCGCTTCCCCCCATAAACACCCCAAATGTGGTAAACATCTTCCTGTCAGCACGGCACACCTGCTCACTGACTCATTTTCTAGTTTCCATGGAAACCAGGGCTTAAGGTCTGAGTGGATGCTGGTTCACTTGTTCTCCTGCCCCCCCCCAAAAAAAACAGAACTGGTCAACCTTGGCCTTAGCTCGAAGACACAACAATTATCTTTTCCTGGCATTTAAATCGGAGCTCTGGCGCCTTACAGACATGAGATAATTAGATTTGAACAAATGAAAAGCCCACTGGGTCTCACGCGCAGCCACTTGCTATTAAGTGTGTCTGATTTTTAGTATTTAAACCTTATTTCTCTAAGTTTGACTGTTGTTTTCTTTTTCTAGGTTTGATGTCGTGTTCGACGGCGTGGGTGGAGATACGGAGCAGTACGCCATGGGCCTGCTGAAGCCCTGGTCCGGGGCCAAGTACGTCACGCTGGTAACACCTTTACTCCTCAACACCGATTCGATGGGCCTGTTGGACGGGACGCTTCACGCCGGCTTCACGCTTCACAGTAAAGCCATTCAGGTAAACACGAGTTTAAAAAAAAAAAGAAAAGGAGGATTGTACAGCTGGTTATGGTCGAGCATGGGCATCCACTAACAAAGCCCTCTGTGCTCACTTGTTTTTTTTTTTTACTAAATGCGCTGAGGCTTGTGTTTTTCTCGTGAAGCCTGGGCGTGGACTACAGGTGCTCCCAAACCGAAACGACATACTTGATCCCCAGTGACATGGAAAGACGGCTGTGTGCGGTGTGCCGTTTTACTTCCATTCAGTTGATCAGATGAGTTGAGGTTCAGGTGAGGCTGGGTGGGGAAGACAAGTCGTGTAAATACTTGACTTAGCTTGGGAGCATATTCTCCCTTTGGCTCATGCTCGGTGTTTAGAAATATACGCTCCGGGCTGTTATAAATCTCACCGTGTGCAGGTTGGTGAAGGAATCTGAGCGACTCTGTTAGCGGGGTTGGTGTCATGAGGGCGGCGGACGGGCAGACGAGGACAGGGTGGAGCCGCTCTGGGGACTGAGTCAAGTTGTCCGGGGCAGAGCACAGCTGGCAGCGCAGTGCGAGTGTGTGGACGAGTGTGTAGCTGTGTGGGCATCAGACTAGGTGCAGTGTGTGTGTGTGTGTGTGTGTGTGCATGTGTTTGCTGCTGAACCAGCAGTATTTGGTGTTTGTTCAGATTGCGGCCGACTACCTCCCCCCGGCAAATACCAGTGTTTGTGTGTTTCTTGCCAAGCCTCCGAGCCCCCTTTGTCCACGGGGGCAGCCAGCTGGTCAGCTTGGCGGGGCTCGGTCGCAGCAGGCACACCCACAGCTCTGGACGGCTCAGTCTTTTCCATGTGGGAGATCACAGCAGCGCAACTGAGCCCTCTAGTGTTAAACTTCATGGCAGCCTTGAATTATGTTTGTCTTTTTTTTTTTTTGTCCACCACCAAGCAGCGGTAGTTTCACCAGAGCCTTAGAGGAGGGACACAGTGATGTAATCATATATTATAAAGCTTTTTTCTTTTCTCTTTTGTAAGTAGTGTTTGTTTGTCATATCAGGGGAGATGCAGCCACCGTTTATAGTTTCTTTGGGCGTCCTTGTAAGCCGGTAGAACAGCGAACGTAACACGAGGGGCCCTGAATCATGCAAATGAAATACAGCCATTGATTTTTACCTGTGCTTATCTGGTACAATATGTTAACATGTCTGCCTGTTACTCTGTTTGTCCTTGTGCTGTAGTTAAGTGGGCAAAGCAGAATAGCAGTTTGAACCAGTTACATGACATTTTTAGGAAGGTAAGGGATAATAACCCAGCACTGATTTCTGTTAAGTCTGTCAGTGGTAACTCATGTTTCTCTGCTGATGATGAGAAAAATGTTGCTTCAGAAGATAGTCTAGATGTTATAGGCAGCAGGTCACAAGTAATCCAAATGAAAACTCAGATTTGGTTGGTTGGAGAATTCAGTTTTCTTCAGTAGCTCAGTGAGTTTAGCAGCTCGTCTATCAGCAAATCTGTAATCAGGCTTTCTTCCATGTAATCTATGAGGTTAATTACTTCTCACTCCTAATATGTCGCTCTCTAGCGATCATGTGCTGGCTCCTTTATGTCATACAGTAGTGTCATGGTATTTTCAGCTTTAAACCTGTTGACATTTAGGAGAATGTACAGATCCATTCAGGACCCCTGGAGACCCCCGCATGCAGGCGTCCTTATCTTTTCCTACCAGGTAGCTGCTATTCTGCGTGAACCTGCCTGACTTCTAATTATTGCCTCCGCTCCGGTTTGCCTCCTAGAACGTACTATCAAGCGGAGTCTTCTACAGGTGGGGATTTTACGCTCCAGATGGTCCCGCTCTGGATGAGGTCAGCCGGCTGGTGGATGCGGGGAAGGTACTGTACGGCCTCGGCATTCACATCACACACACCATTCAGGAGCCTCAGAAGTGACGGGAATGTAGGGGGACCAGGGAGATTCTCTCATTTGCACATCAGTCGCAGTGTGTGAGAGTGAAATTCACGCCGGGATGGAGATCATACAAACACGGCGGATATGAACATGCCAGGGATGCCGTGCATGCCTGTATTCATGCTCCCCTGTGGCTTTGTTAAGGAGAGAGCGCCGCGTTCCCGCTATGCCGCTGGGCTGGCGTGCACGGCTGGCTGCTGGGCGCCAGGAGACGGTGAATGGGGTTTTTTAAACAGTGCTGAGCAGCCATTCGCAAAAGCGTGTGGGACCTCTGTCCTTTTGTCCGGGGGGCTTACAGCAAGCGGCACACTCAGACCAGTGGCGGGAAGCCTCGGGACCAGCAACACCCCCCCAGCCCTCAACAAAACACACACTCTCTCTACACGTCCCATTTGCAGTCAGAAGTGTGGACGGTTTCCAGTGACGCCACCGCGCTGCCCATTCATTGTTAACGGCGAGAGATGCTGACCAGAATAACAAGCCGGGCTGCTTGTGTTGTGGGACTAGCGCAGGATTGTCCAGCCTCATCACATTCTGAACCCGTCCCTCACGCGCTCACATTTGCAGCTATGAAAGCAGAGATGATGTAGCATCAGGGGGGGCTTGTGGGCATATGCTACGACTCAATACGTTAAATGATGTGATTTTTAAAATGACATCCAGTGGGAAAAGATCGGAGGCTTAGATCTGGGGTGCAATCGGTTCATATTGTGTTTGCTTTGTGTATTTAAAGCAACACGTATAGCTCATTAGCATCGGCTGTCACTTAAAAGGACGTCTCGTTGGTGTAATTTTCAAACTGTCAATAGTGATTCTGCTGTAAAATGAAGCCAATCCCCCCCGTTGTGTTCTCAAACCCAATAAAACAAAAGCCAAAACTCATTTTAAAAGTTTAAATCTGATCTCGTAATCGTTTCACGATGCCTTTTCTTGATCTCTAGCTCACATTCCTGATATTTTTCTGTCGTTTCATCGCAGATCCTCCCAGTCGTGGAGGCCCAGTTTCCATTTACCCAGGTGCCTCAGGCTTTCCAGAAGCTGGAGCAGGGCCACGCCAGAGGGAAGACTGTAGTCAGGGTGGCTGAGGACGACGACGAGCAGGCTGACGAGTTGGTGCAGAGCAGCTGTTTGGAGACTGCAGAGTCGGAGCAAGAAGTGCAAGAAACAGCCAAGCAAAACTAAAGAGGGGAAAGCAAGAGCCAAGAGAGTTCCTCCTGTGATCCTTCTCACCTCTGCAAGGCTACACTTGACTGCAGCAGACTGTATTATCCAGAGGTAGCGGCGTGTTGTGCAGCCAACTGCAAGCGTGACTGGTAATGAGAGCCTGCTGGAGGCTGTAGCTCTTGTTAAAACTCACAGCCTGCAGTACCGTCTGAAGCTCTCTCAAGGTGGTTGAGTTATGTTCATGTCACACTGAGGTTACTGTAATTACCACCTGCTGACCTGTAAATACCATCCAGGTCAGAATCCAGATGGCAACAGCAGCCCAGCATTTGGTTCCTCGCTGGAATTTATACGACATGAAACAGGTCTGTAACAGAAGCGGCGCTACGGGGCAGGTGACTGGTTCTCCTCTTTCCTTTGCATTTGCATAATCTCCTTGTTAAGTCGTTTAAGAACTGCCTCGAGCGTCTGGACGTCATTTTTGTCATCGTTTTCTGCACCAAATATGTCAGTTCAACCTTTGGGAAATAAAGAAACTTCAAATCCGTTGAGTTTCTACGTCGTCGTTCAGTGAAGTGCAGCTCAGTTTCCTGTTCCGTCTCATGTATTTAAGAAATTTATTGACAAAAATACTTTTGTTATTCTGAGAACAAAATGAGTCTGTGCTGTATAGTTTTGATTAAACACAAATAAAAGACACAAGCGATACAGTATTTTTTTCTTTGCTCATGTTGCATGCAGCCGGGAAGTCAGACGATATGAACTGTACGACATAAAGATAAAAAGGTACGAAGACGTGTTAACACTGTTTAAGTTAATTCATATCGCGTAGAAATAGATTTATTCAACGAAAATATATAAACCTTAAAGCTATATTACTGGAAGTGTAAAATAAGAAGCGTTTCAAGTTCGAGAACCCGCTGGTTGTATATTCAGAGGGTCGTAATACATTCTGACGAAATCATTCCTCTCTCTCCGAGTTGACCTCTTCATTGGACGTCGTTCCCTCCGCGGCAGAAACGTCGAGCAGCTCCGACGACGACGCGCCTCGTCCCCGAACGCTCGACTCTCCGACGGCGCCGTCCCTCCGACTCTGAACATCGGGGATCCAGTTGAGCAGCTCGTGTGTTCATATGATCTCCACGTTCCACCGCTGTTGCAGTTTGTTCGGATCAAACGTGTTCAGAATCACTTGGTTTTTGTCGTAGTGAAGGCCGCCTGGAAGAGGTCAATGATTTCTAATTAATACACACATTTTCCCCTATTATTCCTATGAATTAAGTATTTTTTAAAGTCTTATTTGCATCTGAAATGGGCTTATTAAAGATGGATGACACTCGTAAATGATCCCATGCATATTGATTTAAAACCCTTTTCCCGTTTCGTATCCTTTGCTGTTATCAATATTACATTTCTGCATATATTTCATCTACAATATACCAACAGCAATTAATATCCTCTACTTCCAGTGCAGTGACTGATTCCTAATGTTTGTTCACTGGCAGTATTTAGTCCACAAGGTGTCACTAATTGACAGTGTTGCACATAAACGCCCAGTGGTTCAGTCCTCCAGGAGGTTCTGGGAAGAGGCGGGACACAAAATGACGATAATACTGGCATGGTTGGCACAACACAGAGTGTGCATTAGAGGATAATTACTGCCGTGGGAAGAGAGTATTCGCTAATGATTCTAACATTGGCCCCGAGGTCTTGAACAGATTTAACAAAGTTGAGCTACAAATCCTGAAATGTCTGTAAATGTATGATTATATGACTCTGACGTTCGCCCCAGAGAGTGCTGGTGGTGCTTCATCAGTACGATGTCAGTCAGTCTCACCTTTGACTTCCAGGACGAGGTCAGAGGTGAGGGTGTAGCGGATGAAGCCGTCGGGGGTGATGCTCCACAGGTTGGCTTGGTTGTCCGGCTCTGGCGTCAGACCTACGCGGCTGCCCGCCATCGTGACGCTGCCGCTGGGACTTAAGCAGCATTCCTCCAGCAGCTGCAAACAAGGAGAGATGTACAAGTTTTAGTTTGCTGAGGTTCCCCTCCCTCCGACTGCTTCTGGGTTACTATCGATTGTGTTGTTTTTTTTTTTTAATCAAATCTCTGGTCTGGCTCCTAGACTCCCTCTGCACCTTGCCGTCCTCTCCCCCCTTCGTTCCTGCCACCTGACTGGACCGGCGCCCGGTCCTCTGATCCCTCTGCAGCACGGATCTCGACACCTGCTTTAAAAGCGCTGCGAGTCTGGCAGCCAGGGCAGCTGGGATTTAATGTGAGCAGCATGCCAATGTGTCCCTGGAGTCTCTGTTCGCCGGTTAGCGACTACAAGTTGCACCTGCGCTTTGTAATTACACTTACAATCTGTGGCACATTGTTTCTGTGCGCGCTTGTTTGTACATCTGCATAATAATTCCTGTAGGAGTACCTGTAGCTGTATTTTCTCTGTACCTGGAGCCTGAGCCAGGCTTCAGCTTCCATCCTCCTCACCATCACACACACATTTCAGGAGCTTGCTTGTGTGTCCACATTCATGTTTAGGGGTGCTGCTCTGAAAATGTATGTGTGTTTGCTTCTTCAGATGATCCAATAAGCAGCTAAAAGGCTGAAGAAAAAGCTCCAGATTAACCTTCTGAATTACAAAACCTCTAATGTGCCAAAATGCAGTTATGACAGACAGAGACTGGAACCAAGTCTTTGGGTTTTCATGTTTTCTGTGATTGTGAACTAATCATGTAATAGAGACTTAACCATACTGAAGCGTTACATGTTGATATTTCATCCTACATGTCAGTTTAAATTTAACAAAAATAAACTGTTT